ATGTACCGTGGCTCTGAAGGGCCATGCCATGACATGGTATATTTTTTTAAAATTGTTCCCCCAAAAAAATTGACTGTTCATTTTATATTTATAAATAAGATGTCGTATTGTTCAAATTCAATTTAAACTGAAACTTTTCCTTTAATTGACTTACTACTCAGAATTCTGACTTATAACGCAGAATTCTGACTTATAACATGGAATTCTGACTACATAACTCAGAATTCTGACTTATAACACGGAATTGTGACTATATAACTCAGAATTCTTACTTATAACACGGAATTTTGACTATATAACTCAGAATTCTGACTTATAACTCGGAATTCTAACTTATAGTTATAACACGGAATTTTGACTTATAACTCAGAATTCTGACTTATAACTCGGAATTCTGACTTATAACACGGAATTCTGACTTAAAACGCGGAATTTTGACTTATAACACGGAATTTTGACTTATAACACGGAATCAGTTTGACTTATAACACAGAATTTTGACTTATAACTCAGAATTCTGACTTATAACTCGGAATTCTGACTTATAACACGGAATTCTGACTTATAACTCGGAATTCTGACTTATAACACGGAATTCTTATTTATAACTCAGAATTCTGACTTATAACACGGAATTCTGACTTAAAACGCGGAATTTTGACTTATAACACGGAATTTTGACTTATAACACGGAATTTTGACTTATAACGCAGAATTCTGACTTATAACACGGAATACCGACTTGTAGGCCCAACTCAAAATTCTGACAGAGATCATCAAAAATCACATGCATTTCTCCATTCTTTCAAACACAATGGCCGATCGCGACAAGTTGATTCTTCGGATATTGATATGGTTTGTGCTAGCTTTTCCATTATGTACTTGTATGGTTTCCTTTTATCTTCCTGCCTTGATGACAGGCAGTCCAGACCGTGATAGCTTAATTGTACGCTATTTTGAGCTTGGATTTTCATACAAAGAAATAATAGCGTTCCTTAGCGCCTATCATAGCATACGAATATCCTTGCATCATCTTATAAAAAGATCAATTATCTTCAAAAGATGTTACAGAAGAAAAAATCACTCAAATATTCGTGAAGTTGTTGATGTAGTAGAAAGAGAACTAGATGGAAGTGGTGGTGAAGTTGGATGCAGGCATATGCATCAGAGATTGCTCACAAAGCATAAGCTTGTTGCATCAAGAGAGACTGTGCGAAAAACGATAGCTGCCCTATAGACCCTGAAGGAGTGAGCCCACGTTCGATGAGAAGATTTAGACGCCGTGTGTTCTCTGTAAGAGGTCCAAATGATATGTGGCATATCGACGGATACGACAAGTTAAAACCCTTTGGATTTGGACAATTTTGTAGTAGCTAAATTAACCGGAAAATTACCTCTATCGCAAAGGTCTTTAACTAAAAGTAGTTAATCCACCAGTTAATTCCCCAACGTTCTATTCTTTGGTTGGCCACTGATTTTCCATAAATGAAACTTTTCTCTTTCGCAAAGCTGTCAACATCATTTCTTCGTAGAAAACGTTGTATTTGTGCCACATGGGTGTTTTCTGTTCCGCAATCGGCACGAATCCTACGAGCTGTACCACCTATGCCTCTAATGTAATCTACAAAATACTGCGCGATTATTCGAGGGTCGCTATTCGAGTGCCCCACATGCAGCCACAGAATTCGCCTGCTGTATCTATCTATTGCACCATGTATAGCAAATCCAAAGGGTTTTAACTTGTCGTATCCGTCGATATGCCACATATCATTTGGACCTCTTACAGAGTACACACGGCGTCTAAATCTTCTCATCGAACGTTGGCTCACTCATTCAGGGTCTAGGGCAGCTATCATTTTTCGCACAATCTCTCTTGATGCAACAAGTTTATGCTTTGTGAGCAATCTCTTATGCATATGCCTGCATCCAACTTCACCACCACTTCCATCTAGTTCTCTTTCTACTGCATCAACAACTTCACGAATATTTGAGTGATTTTTTCTTCTGTAACATCTCTTTGAAGATAATATCCTTTTAAGATGACGCAAGGATATTCGTATGCTATGATAGGCGCTAAGGAACGCTATTATTTCTTTGTATGAAAATCCAAGCTCAAAGTAGCGTACAATTAAGCTATCACGGTCTGGACTGCCTGTCATCAAGGCAGGAAGATAAAAGGAAACCATACAAGTACATAATGGGAAAGCTATAGCACAAACCATATCAATATCCGAAGAATCAACTTGTCGCGATCGGCCATTGTGTTTGAAAGAATGGAGAAATGCATGTGATTTTTGATGATCTCTGTCAGAATTTCCAGTTGGGCCTACTAGTCGGTATTCCGTGTTATAAGTCAGAATTCTGCGTTATAAGTCAGAATTCCGTGTTATAAGTCAGAATTCCGTGTTATAAGTCGGAATTCCGTGTTATAAGTCAGAATTCCGTGTTATAAGTCAGAATTCTGCGTTATAAGTCAGAATTCCCTGTTATAAGTCAGAATTCCGAGTTATAAGTCAGAATTCTGAGTTATAAATCAAAATTCCGTGTTATAACTGTAAGTCAGAATTCCGTGTTATAAGTCAGAATTCTGCGTTATAAGTCAAAATTCCGTGTTATAAGTCAGAATTCCGTGTTATAAGTCAAAATTCCGTGTTATAAGTCAGAATTCCGTGTTATAAGTCAGAATTCCGTGTTATAAGTCAGAATTCTGCGTTATAAGTCAAAATTCCGTGTTATAAGTCAGAATTCCGTGTTATAAGTCAAAATTCCGTGTTATAAGTCAGAATTCCGTGTTATAAGTCAGAATTCCGTGTTATAAGTCAGAATTCCGTGTTATAAGTCAGAATTCTGAGTTATAAGTCAGAATTCTGAGTTATAAGTCAGAATTCCGCGTTATAAGTCAGAATTCTGAGTTATAAGTCAGAATTCCGTGTTATAAGTCAGAATTCCGAGTTATAAGTCAGAATTCTGAGTTATAAATCAAAATTCCGTGTTATAACTATAAGTCAGAATTCCGTGTTATACTCAAAATTCTGCGTTATAAGTCAAAATTCCGTGTTATAAGCCAGAATTCCGTGTTATAAGTCAGAATTCTGAGTTATAAGTCAAAATTCCGTGTTATAAGTCAGAATTTTGAGTTATAAGTCAGAATTCCGTGTTATAAGTCAGAATTCTGAGTTGTAAGTCAATTAAAGGAAAAGTTTCAGTTTAAATTGAATTTGAACAATACGACATCTTATTTATAAATATAAAATGAACAGTTAATTTTTTGGGGGAAACAAATTTAAAAAAATATACCATGTCATGGCATGGCCCTTCAGAGCCACGGTAGTGTATCGAGTGCACAAAACTTTTACAGCAGACAGAATTAAACGTCGCTTGAGGATGTGTGTGGGGGTGTTCCACTCCGCTGTCGTCAGGAATTCGGCAAAGTTGCAGTATCCATTTGGCGAAAGGTGAAACGGAAAGCATTACTTTATATGGAATTTTTATTGAAGCATTACGGAGGAATTGTGCCTAAATAATTGTATTCGGTCCGAAAAAAATTGGCGACGGGGAGGGAGGTCGACACGAATGTTGGATCATGACGCCCTTTCATTTTCATTGGTGCCCTTTTGTTACAGAGTATGCCCTTTTGTTAACCAATTGCACCCCTTGCCCTCAGCAACTTCCGGCATCCCTGATCACCGTTCTAGCGCGCGCGTGTTTTATACTGACAGCTAGATTCCAGGATAAATTGCAACCACGAGGTTGGATAAATTGTTATTTTTCAAACTTTAAAAGTTATTCACGACACATATTTCTGTTGTGATGGTTTGTATTGTGCTTGTATCTAACTCATTTTTGTTCAGTTTTGGTATTAAATACGGTTTAAAATGTCTTTTGACAGTTTGTTTACGTTTGCTATTTTTAGCAGTTTTTGTGACATAAAATTGACATTTGAAGTAAAGAGTATTTTTCAGGGAGGTCGCGTATTTTTGAAAACGGGTGTAAAAGGGTGTCTATAAATTTGCGAGAAATATGCGAAATGAATACTATAATCGAATAACGATTTTTAGAAACTTCTTCGTATGACAACAATAAAAGTTAATAACACAAATATTTAAAAGGCAAATTCGATTAGAGTATTCATTTCATATTTCTCGCAAATTTGTAGACACCTTTATTTAATACGCCCTCTTCGCCACGAACACAACTGAATAAACGAATTAACTCTATTTTCTTCTAATTATGATTAACACTAAATGGTATCTGCTATAAGAGCTAGCCTATATCTATACAGACATACAACTATTTAATATACGCACGAGTTTCCTCGACAATAGTGGCACAAAGTCCCACATGGCTGAGCGTGCTCCTAAGATTGAACGCTGTTCATCAGTTTATTTCAAACAATAAATAAATAATAGTAATTTTTACCAACCTTAGCTCCAGGATATGATTATTCCTTGACCGACCTATTAATATCCGCAATTCCCGCCAAAACTCTCACGACTGAATGCAATTCCCGCCAAAACTTTTACGCAGTCCATGTACCGTCGCTTGCAGGATGAACGTTGAGGTCGTTGATAAAAACATTGCCTATTCGCGTGAGAATCTTCGATATTTGTCAAGAGCACTTGACAAGTTCTGATCTGATTTTAACCCGTTGAACAACCAGATCCAAGCTTTGAAACCACCAAATGATCATAAAGTCCATAAATGATCATCAAAAACATTGAACTTTCTCGGTAAAAACATTGAACTTTGTCATGAGAATAGACAATACTTTACTGCGACCGTTCATCCTTAGTGCATTCAGTAAATGAGTCCGCCTTTTACAAATCGCAGCCCGCGATTTGTAAAACACGGACTCAGTCCGCGTTTTACAAATCTTAGTTCGCGATTTGTCCAGTCCAGTCCGTGTTTTACAAATTCAGTCCGCGATTTGTAAAACACGGACTCAGTCCGCGTTTTCCCGGTCCAGTCCGGTCCAGTCCAGTCCAGTCCAGTCCGTCTTTTACAACATGCCGCATTGATTACCGTACCGGATGAAACATGTGTGATATTTTTGTCCGGGAAATTGTTTCAAAACATTTTATTCAACTGCGAGTTCCTATATGACCAGAAAACTAACAATGTCCAATGAGGTTAGTTCTTGTTTTTCTAAAACATTTGTAATCCACCGTTGTTTACGAGCGAAATGACATATTACCGTACCTTGCAACGTACGCCAACGTAACGTATAAACAAACACGTTTTAGATCGCGCTTTAACCTTAATTGACGGATTTTCCCGCGCCAGTTAGCACATTGATCGTCTTTGTCCTTCTGAAATAACTTCAATCAGCGCTTGAAAAAGCTTGATATGACGTTTAAATATACAAACGTAAACGTGATATCGATAATACCAAAAAATATTCCGATATGAAAATTCCAATATCGAGTAATCGGTATTTATACTGAAAAAACGATAATTATCGGTATATCGATATGCCGCAACAGCCTAAATTTGGAGGTCACCGATGTCTTTTACAAGTTAAATTACTGTAATTAAATTCAACCACCCACAAGTTCACCCAGCATTTTTGCCAATGTGGTCATAGTTAATAGAGATGTGGCATATAGCTAAAAAGATTGGTGCAAAATTTTGACAGTTCATGGTATAGTTCGGTTTTAAATTTTTTTTGCGATTTACTAACGCACGACCCACGACGCACGACGCACGACCCACGACGCACGACCCACGACGCACGACCCACGACGCACGACCCACGACGCACGACCCACGACCCACCCACCCACGCCAAATAGACAATCTCAAGAAAAACATGTCAAGAAGCTGACAAAGTGACGTCCAATTGAAGTATCAAACAAATAATGCAGCGACAACCGCGATAATGCTTTGATAAATGCATGGATAATTAATTCTTGCGATAATGCGTGGATAATTAATTAATTTTATTTCGGATATCGAGGTCCGATCCGATCCGACCACGAAGCAACTTTATCAATCCGATCCGAAATAAATATTTTGGTTCCGAAATCCAAACGAATCGGATCGGATTCGGATCGGTTTCGGATCGGATTTGCACACCTCTACTTTCTACTTTCCGATAAATTGTGACCAGATTGAGATTATTTTACGCTTTATTTTCAAAATATATTAAATATCACTAATTTTGGCGATATTTTGCTTTTTCCTTCAAATTTCCTTCGTTCTTCTAGAATTTCCTTCACATTTCCTTCAAAATTTATTTCCTTCAAATTTCCTTCACTTTGCAAAAAGTTCCCTTCAAAAGGAAATTTCCTTCAAAGTGGAAGCGCTGGGCGTGAGCCCGGGAGGAGGGTACTAATTCCGGTTGGCATTTGTTGTTCATTCCAATGACTCCACTGTATTCTGCGACATATTAATGTCTGTTTATGTCTTGCGAAGGCAATGATCGTGTGGCACCACCACAACTCAATTTCACTCTCGAAACAGAGAGTGGCTTTAATAACAAACAGTATGACTGGTCAAGTGCCGAGATTCAGTCACAACTACCGACAGATATTCTGCTAATAACAGAAAAAGATCACGAATCGAATGCTTGTTATTCGTATATGAATAATGTTCGACGTGGTTATTGTAAAGAGCTTGGGTGTATAGATTTTGGTCAATTTGGCGTGAAGGATGATCAGAAAGTTGCATTAATGAAATTTAAACTGGGATCGAATAAGGAGGGTTTGTTAGCTGTGAAAAATGCTGCTGAAATTTTAAAGCCAAAAGTAGTCCTGTTTGTTGGGATCTGTGCAAGCATGAAAACGGACAAGAAGGTAAAACTTGGCGACGTTGTCGTTTCCGCAAAGTTAGGGACTAAAGATAAAAAAGTTATGCCTGATGGCACAGTGAACTATTGCGTTGCAAAAGTGAGTGAAAACATGGCTCCTCTTATTCTAAGTGCAGCTGATGGTTGGAAACCACCGTTAAAAGACCCAAGTAGTTTAAACGTCGAGGTTCATCGTGACGCTGTAATGTTAAGTGGCTCAGATAAAGTCGACAATTGTAAAAGACGAAAAGATTTGGCGTATTATTGCCAAGATGCACTTGGTCTTGAAATGGAGGATGCAGGTATAGTGACTATAGTGAATAAATATGACAGCAGACAGCCTGTTAAAGTCGAATTAAATAGAACAAAGTGGCTATTCGTACTGGAATGTGGCACCCGATTCTTACGTTACGTAAAGTAGCAATATAAATATTTTTTGCAACAGCTTTTAGCCAGCTTGCCGCTAGCGTATTCGGCAAAGGCGTTGCGTGCGTGCCAAGTGAAACGAGGTCGGCTCCGGATTTAGTTTTAGCCGTCGGTTTTCTGTTGACTTAGAAATTTTTCTTAAAATATTTTAAATTTTTCCCCCCACTTTTTTTAACTCTCAAATAGTTTATTAGACCTTTATTGGTTAGGGACTCCAGACTGCAGAGTATAGCAGTTTTCAACAAGATCTTGGGTGCGCAATCGGGCCGCACCGGAAGTGCGGGTGTGCAAAACTGCCCAAAAATTCTCAGGTGCGCCTGCTCAAGTGCTCCATGAAAAAGTTGAAATGGTTGAAAGGGTTGAGGGGCGCCTAGTTCACAATGTTATTTATCAATACATGTACGTCTTAGTATGTAGTCCACTAATTAAAAATGCATTAAACACAATGTGTTGATCAACTGAATGAACTGAGGTATACTGCCTATACACTGGAGTTATATTTGAATATATTTAGCTCAATGGCACTGCATATTAGGACTGTGTTGAGCAGGTCTTATATGTAACAACCTATTCTAATGATTTCTGTGTATGTTGGTGTTATGTAGTCAGGTGAATATGATGTTTGTGATTTTACTCTGAGTGTGCATCCACACCGGGCAAGCTAAAAAGTTTGCCTGACCACAGTGGGAATTGAACCCGCGACCTTTGGGATACTAGCTAGTCCTCTCTATAATTTTGAAAGTTCTGGAGCGATGTTTTCTTCGTAACATGTGAGAGCACCGTGCGACTGTTCTAGGGGCTACATCATCTAAAAAACCTGTATTGTCTGGAGTCCCTCAAGGTTCTATCCTGTTAGCCTGCGAGCAGGCTCTCTGGGTGAAAGAGAGCCTGCAAGGATCCCTATAATATTTACGTGCATGCGTCCAATATTTGGACGCAGAGCTCTGATTGGTTGATAACTGATTCAAATGAAGTGATTGACAAGCTTCCATAAACTACACTTCCCGTTTGTAAAACCAAGTAACGCAAAGCTTCGGAATTGCGGCAATGTAGAGATAAAAGTGTCATGTATTTTGTATCCTTGTTGACTTTTTATAGAATTAATATAGTATTCATATAAAGACGAATACTAAAAGCTTGCATGCTTTATTGTGTCCTGGGCTTGTCTGACTAACTGATTTCTAGGCTACGGAAAAGACTGAACAAATTCGCAAACCAAAACCTAGGGACAAGGCATTATATCGCTTCTCTTTCATGAAACAATATTGAGAATTATTCTGATAATATTCAGTGCATATTGTTTGTATTAAGCTTGTTTTACAATGTTATACTGACTATTTAATATTTATAAGTATGCGGCGTTAATTAAAATGTACAGTAATTTACTCGTCACTTTGTTTACAATAATTATCACATGCATGTTGACTGTAATTCCACCTTTTGTTGCAAAATGTGAACTATAAACATATTATTAAATTATGTCCAATGTCCATGGTATATCATATATGTCTATGTCTCACCAAAGCCATAAATTTCAGTAAGTTATATTGTTACTATACTGTATATATATATATTTATTGCAGCATGAAGCAATTCCAAACAACTGAATTAGTTAGCGGGTAATATACAACTTTAAACTTACTGTGCCTACCGAAACACATGTAGATTGTAATAAAAAGTACAACTTGATATATTACACTGTAAAACCTTGAGCCGTTTTAACTTTTTTAGTATGCCCCAGTGGCAGTCTGTATACGAAACTAACGAAAGAATACAATATAAATGGAGTTCAGCGTTTATCGGTTTATGTTTACAATATTGAAGTGTATTTCTGGTCTGCGCTGATTGGTTGTTATTAATTGACCTGTGACATCTTAATTGAAGGGCGGCAGGCAATCATCATAGGGATCGTTGCAGGCTCTCTTTCACCCCAGAGAGCCTGCTCGCAGGCTACTATCCTGTATCCAATACTCTTCCTCCTTTATGTTAACATGCAACCTACCTGATGTAGTGAATAATGCAAAAGTAGTTTCTTTTGCTGACGACACAAACTTATTCAAGTGTGTCGATTCTCACATATACAGTGCCTCGATTCAAAGTGATCTTGATAATCTTGAGGAGTGGCGACTTCTTCTGGACTTGTATTTAATCAAACTAAATGCAAGTGTCAGAGAATTACCATGAAAAAGATTACCACCGAATTCCCCTACACCATCAAAAACAAAACCCTCGCAGTAACAACAGAGGAGAAGGATCTTGGCATTTGGGTTACTAGTAATCTGAAATGATCCAACACACACCCTCAATCGATGCGCCGCAGCCAATAGGATGCTCGGATTTGTACGTAGATCTGCAACGGAAATCACGGATAAAAGGATTCGCCGTGCATTGTATTTCACAGTATTTGGCATTTGTACGACCAGCCTTGGGCTACGCCACTCAAGTGTAGTCGCCGCAGTCGGTCGAGCCCATCAACCGAGTAGAATGTGTTCAACGCCGAGTCTCAAAGTTTATTCTAGGTCTCCCATTCATGTATGGCGTACCCTACAAAGACAGACTCATCTCAACAGAACTTCTTCCCCTCTCATAGTGGCATAAATATTTAGACTTAATGTTTTTCTTCAAAGCTATTACTGGCATTGTATCCATATCTCGAAATTCCTTACCTGAACGTATTGCTCCCGTAAGAGTCACAAGATCATATGCAAATGTCAATGCAATCTAGCATTCCGTCAACGAAAACATAAAACAACAACTTATAATCGATCATTCTTTCTTTGAACAACTAGAACTTGGAACTCTCTCCCGTAGCATTTACGACTTAATAATCTTTCTTTTATTCAATTTAAGAAAGGAATGTTAGCATACTATGTATGAATATTAGCATAATATGTAATCGTTACGAATAAACGGAAAAAAACCTCGGGTGTGGCTGGGGTGCGGAATATCGGACGGAAGGGTGTGGCAAGTGCGCAATTGTTATAGCATAAATTTATCTTGGGTGCGCCACTGCCATACTCTGCAGCCTGGGTTAGGGTTAGAGAATGGGTTGAGGTCAGGTTTATCTTAAATATTACGACTGCAGTACGAATAGCAAATCAAACTCGGCGTACTGTTCCAGTACGAATTATTAGCCACAGCGTAAATAAAATGTAAGGGAGTGGTCATTATTTATGGGGTGGTAGAGGGTGGATGATTTTTTAAGCACAAGCTAAAATTTTTCATAACCCCTCTCTTGAGCAATTGTTGAAATTCGCAACTCCTCCTTCACACGTTTAAAAAAAAATTCCAACCCCTCCTCAAGAAAATTATTTTAACAAATATAAACATAAAAAATGCAAACAAAATAAACGTTGAGTTTTAACATTTCAATTTGAAACAAAGAGTCTTCTATTGACCTTGTACTTAAAAAATAAGACCAGTGTTATTATTTTGGTACACTAGATTTAACGGCTGAGACTAAAGTTGTTTATTTTACAGCTTGGCATGTGATAATACAATATATTCATTATCTACAGTGTATTAATTATTTCGATTTGTTAATTAAGTTTGTTTATGTATCAAATTTAGTTAGTTTATGTATCGACAAGACTATTTTTCTAGTAGCCCCTCGTTCTTCAAGTCAAGAATCAACATAACCCCTCCTTCAGCAGCTTTCAAAATTTTGTAACCCCTCCTCAAAATCATCCACCCCCTACCACCCCATAAATAATGACCACTACCTTAATCGAATTCAGGAGGAGCAGCACATATTATGGTATATTTCTGGCGACTTGAATACTGAACAGAAAAATAATTGAGATTTTTAACCCAGAATGTGATAAGCCAAAAATGAAAATACACAATTGTTGCTGAATATGTCAGTGGCGGCACCACAGGAGGATTGGGGAGGACACCCCCACAAAAGTAACCCCAATCTTGGTCCCCAGCTTAAGGGTGGGCATAGCTCTGGAGAAATTGTTAAACCTGTAGGGAAAAATACGATAGTCGGAGTGATGTATAGACCACCTAGCCAAAATATAGCTGATTTTATTTCTAAGCTTAATAATGGGTGATTTTAACTTAAATTTATTGAATCAACATTTTCATCAATTTACAAATGAATTTCTTGACATAATGTATGCAAATACGTTTTTCCCCTTGATAACACTTCCAACAAGGATTACATCGCACTCTGCCACTCTTATTGACAACATATTTACAAATGACTTTGATAATTATGCATTCAGTGGCTTAGTTTTGACTGATATATCTGATCATTTACCTATATTTAGTATTTCTAACGAAAAAATGAAGATGAAAGATGAAGCACCATATTCTGTTTTTCGTGACAAATGTGAAAGAAATGTAGCTAAATTTCGTAACTGCCTTTCTAATGTTAATTGGTATGATTTAGATGATATCCATGAGCCAAAGAAGGCTTATTCTAGCTTTTTAAGTAAATTTAGTGATATTTATAATGATTGTTTTCCTTTAAAAAAAGCTAAAAATAATAAGTCAATCTTCAAAAAACCATGACTTTCTAAAGGTCTCTTAAAATCAATTAGACAAAAAAATCGATTGTATAAGCGGTATTTAAATTCCCCAAGTGTTAATAATAATCTTAAGTACAAGAGATTCAAAAATAAATTAAATCACTCAATTAGAATCGCCAAACGTCTTTATTATGTGCAGCAATTAGACCGTAATAAATCAAATTGTAAGAAAACATGGAACATACTGAACGAGATTATTAATAAGCGAAATCAGACACGACGTCTTCCATCAACATTTGTTACTGATAATCACGAATGTTCTGATCCATTATTAATAGCTGATCAGTTTTGTAAATATTTTTCCAATCTTGGTCCTAACTTGGCTAGAAAAGTACAAAATGTCCCTATATCTTCTAATTCATTTCTTTCTGGGAATTATGTAAACACCATGTTTTGTGAGCCCTCAACTGAGCAAGAGATTATGGAAATTGTATACTCTTTTAAGAATGCAGTTGCTGCTGGCTATGATAATTTATCAGTGTCTGCTATTAAAGAATCGATCGAACTGATTGCCAGCCCACTCACTCATATTGTCAACTTGTCAATTTCATCTGGTATATTTCCCGATCTATTAAAAATTGCGCGAGTTGTTCCAATATTTAAATCAGGTGATCATAGAATGTTTGTAAATTATAGACCAGTCTCAGTCTTTCCAATATTTTCTAAAATCTTCGAAAGAGTAATTTATAATCGTTTACTAAGTTATATAAATAAGTTTCATATTCTCAATGATAATCAATTTGGTTTTAGAAAAGATCACTCAACTTCCTTAGCCTTATTACAGTTATATGATAAAATTTCATCAGCAATTGATCAAAAGAAGTTCACAATCGGTATTTTTCTTGATCTATCTAAAGCATTTGATACTGTAAACCATTATATTTTATTTGAAAAACTTCAACATTATGGAATTCGTGGTAAAGCTCTTGATTGGTTTAAAAGTTATTTCAGTAATAGACTCCAATTTGTTCAGTATAACGGGGTGTACTCTCAAAAAATGACTATCCAGTGTGGAGTACCGCAGGGCTCAATATTAGGTCCATTACTTTTTTATTGTATATTAATGATATTTGTAATGTTTCAACTATATTTCACATGATTTTATTTGCTGATGATACAAACGTATTTTATTCGAACCAAAATTTGCCTGATTTGATAAATCAAGTTAATTCTGAATTGAATACATTATTTGATTGGTTTTCAGTTAACAAATTGTCAATTAATTTTAAGAAGACTAAATATATGATTTTTAAACAAAAACAAAAACGGTGCAATACTGATTTGAAAATATCGCTAAATAATATAGAAATTGATTTAGTCAAGGAAGTAAGTTTTCTGGGAGTAATTTTAGACGAACATCTAACATGGAAGGCACATATATCTCATGTAGCTAGGAAAATATCGAAATCGATTGGTATAGTCAAAAAAGCAAGTTTTTGTCTTTCTAATTCATCATTAATTACGTTATATTATTCTCTTGTTTACCCATATATGCAATGTTGTATTTTAGTTTGGGGATCAACGTACCCATCGAATTTATATCGTATTGTGTTGCTCCAGAAACGTATTATCAGAATCGTAGACAAATCGGCATATGATGCACACACTGAACCTATATTTAGGAAACTAAAAAATTTTCCATTTGATAAGATATATTCATTTCATTTGGGTAAGTTTATGCATGTACTTATATTATAAAGAGATGTTACCTCCCAGCTTTAATCATTTTTTTCTTTGCGTTAAACAAGTTCATAATTATAATACACGTAACTCAAATTTGTTTTATGTTCCATTCTGCCGAACGAAAATTAGACAGTTTTCTGTTATTTATCAAGGTGTAAAACTCTTTAATTCGCTTCCCCGAGATATTTATGGTGCTTCATCTATCTCTTGTTTTAGAAAAAATTTAAAAGAATATCTATTTACTCTTTAGTATTATTTTATCGTGAATATAGATGTGTTCGTTTGTATGTATATGTATATCTCATGTGTATGTTATACTTGTGTAGGTGATTTGTGTATGTATATATATGTTACTTTTGTGTATTTGAAACTTATTGATACCTGTCTTTTTCACGCATGAATTATTTATTGTCAGAGCGGTAGTGTTAATTTCATTTTTTAAATGAGCTTCGGCCTTATCAGAATGTAAAAGGTAGTCCAAACTCTATAAGCCTTTTGGTTTCTTTTGGGCTTCCTTGCTTTTTATAATTCCTAAATTGTATATTTTCTATACTGTTATTTTTTGTGGCAAAAATATATTTGATTTGATTTCATTTGAAATTGAATTGATTCATGTTGCATTTCCAACATGAGTTGTATGCATACTCGGCAATTGTTGGAAAATATAAACAAAGTATTTAGAATTTCTTGTCGCAAATTTGATACTTTTTACACTGAAATCGATTGAAAACAACTAAAAATTCTGGAGGAAATATGCACTAAAGCTTCGGATTGATAGGGATACAACTAGCTGAAAAATACAAGGAGAACTTCGGCCTTTATGAGCGAAGACCCTTCGACTTGTACTTTTAGTGTTTCAACCTTGTACCCAGGCTCTTTCCACTATACTCCTCACTGGTGCACGGTTAATCGAAGAAGACTTGTCAGGCTAGCTGTACCACATGACAGATTCTGTTATTCAACCAGTTTTATCTTGGTCACATGGTCCCGGTGCCTGCATGCATTGTAATTTGATACTGGTAAATAATTCATATTCATTATAAACGCGTCATTCTGCCTTTATTTTGGTGAACAAGCCTCTTCTTTTGGAATATTTAAGCTATTTTCTCTTGCTGTTATTAAATATGTGATTGTTAAATAAGTTAAAAGCTATGCCGGGGGAAAACTGAGCATTTTATGGCTGTTTGACGAGCCATAAACATGGGTTTTTGCTGTTCAAATTGCCGGAAATTAAAACTTTAGAGACAAATACACAACAAGTCTGGTTAAGTTTGATCTTACAGACGCGTGAATTGATGCCAGAGTTAAGAAAGCGTATTGAGGCGAATAATATTTATTTATGGGAGCTTCATTTCAAGCAAGAATGCTTTAGTATATGTAAGTATATTTGCATTTTGTGCTTCTTGTTTGCCATTCATGAATATTGATAAATTACTTCGAGAGATATTTCTCTCAATTTTATTCTTAATCGTTGTTTTTGTTTAAGATCCTAAACGAAAATTTGCCAACAAAAAGCCATGATATGCCCAAGACAAAAGAGCATCATACTTTGATCAGAGTTGACACTCAAGATATGCCGTGTACTTCCTCTTTCCAAAAGCAGCAGCTTGACGAAAGTGCTATAATGCCTTGGACAGTGACTAATGCTTTCGAACACGGAACAGGACAGCATAAGGATTTAATTGTATGACCATCAACATGGCATTGAAAAGTTCATTATTGATATTGATCCTGGATTGGAATTTACAGTATATTTGTTTAACTGGCCATGCAATTTCTGATGACCATACTATTTAAACCAGTCAAAAGAGGTCCATCAAAAGTTTTGAAGATGTCAATGAATTGATAAAGCTTGTTGAGAATTCCAAGCTTTGCAAAGGATTGCCACAAGATGAAGAAAGTAAGTCTGTGGTTCGGTATCCAACCTGGGACGATAAGATTACAGAATTCCCCCAATCCACAGTATTCCATCATTCTGTTCCCAAATTGTCATGTGAAAGTCATTTCAAAACATCCGTGACATTTTGATTTCCAAATTGTAATGTTGTTTTGGATACCATACCTGAGGAAGAACAATGTAAGCCATGTTCAAGAATGCATAAGTTATTAAAAAAGCCGCTACAAGAAAGATAACTGTTTCGTCAGTCCCTGCTAAGAGTAAAGCTTCCCTGCCAGCCTGTGGTCCGGACAAGTTACGAGCAACTGTTAAAGCCACAAGATTAGTGTGTAAACAGTTAGAGGGCAGAGTTTAAGAGCTCGAGACAAGAATTAATAAGATGGAGTATCAATTAGTGAGACATTAGAGAAAGACATTTTGAAGATAATGGGTGGTCAGAATTTGGAGGTTACACCTCATATGAAGTTTTTCTGGCAGCAACAGATGAAGTTATTGCAAACTGTGAAAATGGCCAGAAGATATCACCCCCAAATTATTCGTTTTGCATTGTCGCTTCATGGTAAATCCCCAGCTGCTTATAGAGAGCTCAGAGATAGTGGAGTTCTGATCCTTCCAAGTGAAATAATACTTAGAGATTATAAGAACTATTTCAAACCCAAAGCAGGTAGGACATGTTTTAACCCATTGAGCCCCAGTGCGCCCTACTTATTTTTTTCCTTGTTTAATGCCAGACGATTTTACCCATCAATGGGGAAGCACTGCAGCCTAATGAGTTAACCAAAAAATCTGACAATGTCTCTAGTTTACTCATTGAGCCGCAATGTGCCCCAGTGCGCCCTCATCAATGGGGAAGCACTGGAGCTTAATGGATTAACCAAAAAATCTGACAATGTCTCTGGTTAACTCACTGAGCGGCAATGCGCCCCAATGCGTTCTACTTATTTTTTTTTACTTGTCTAACACCAGAAGATTTTACTCGTCAATGGGGAAACTCTGCAGCGTAATGGGTTAATTGGAGAACCTCCCTGAAAATCATGAAAAATGTGATGCGCACTTTCTTTGTAAAGATTACATAATATTATTTAGTTTAAACCTGGACAATATCGAGTCTCTACGGGAGAAAGCCTCTTCAGCGGCTGGAATTCAACGTTATGTGGTGCTCGTCATGGATGAAATGAAGATACAGTCAAACCTTGTTTTCGACAAGTATTAAGGAGATTTGATTGGCTTTGTGGATCTTGGGGATCCAATGACAAATTATGCATGTCTTGGGTACGAAGATGTTATGGCAACTCATGCACTGGCATTTCTGGTGAGAGGAATATGCACTTACATGAAACATGTCATTGCATATTATTTTACTGAAAATGTAACCTCTAATTACCAGTTAATGTCAATGTTTTGGAAGATTGTTGGAGTTCTTGAAGTGTCCTTAAACCTTCGGATCATTGCTGCTTTCCAGGCCTCGAAATAAATCGTTGTTTGAAACTTTATTTACCGAGAGTTACACATAACAGTTTGACAACTAGTATACTAACTTGTGGCCCTCTTAATGAACCCTACTAATGAACCTTCTGTACTACATCCGCGATGCTATCTCATAATATATCAACTTTGAAAGCCGGCCTCAAAATAAATCTGGACGTTATACCAGTCATTATGACCAGTGGATCACTAAATTTACCGGTCACAGCGGAATTTATGCCGGTCATTGCATGTCACTCCTTAGCTTCTTTTCCCCCCTCATCTTTTGGTGACTCGTAACTTTAGAAACAATTGTGTATTTTAATTGTACTTGTATATAAAGTAGAAGTATGGCGTTCATCATAGCTGTAGTAGTAAATATTACTAATAACATTTATAACATTGTTTACTAGCAAATTAATATAGTAAGTCACAAATGACAACTGTAGTTTGAGTTGCGAGCATGCTTTAAGGCTGCATTCCAGTTACGTGTTTTCATACGTGCCTACGCACGTAAAAGTTGAAATCGCTTTACATCCTACTTACGAAATAACTAAATTTATAACATTCAGTTTTGTGTATGATTTAATGTGTACAGTACCGCTCGCGTATATCTTAACATACGATACGCGTATGATACGCGTTAAGGTTATTTGCACTTATATGAAATTTTAAAAGATTTAAACTTTTCCGTCGCACGTGTGAAAAACGCGTAACTGAAAAACAGCCCTTAAGCACATTGCTTGCGGTATATCGTATCTGTACGACAAAATGTGTTACTTCGCCGCCCTTATTAGCTTGCACCGTATAGACGGACATACACTTCTTTGGAAAATTGGAAGTAAAAAATCTGCTCCATTTTTGAACGTACTTTTTTATTAAAAAATTTACCGGTCACGCATGTCCGCCAGGCGACGATATTTGCCGGTCAAACTGAAATTTTGCCGGTCAGTGACCGGTGACCGGCACTTATTTCGAGGCCTGCTGCTGTCAACGATGGAGCATCACCGAATCGAAAGTTCTTTGAACTTTATTCAATGTTTGTGAGTGATCTAGAGAGTGATGTGGTATATCGCTTCATTTTTTTCTTTCCATCTAATCAAGACTGCCAGAAATTGCCTGTACAACTCTGGTTCCGGTTCTCGCAGTCGTCTTATGTGGAACAATTGTAGCTATTTATTGTTCAGGCACATTGCTGACCTTTTCTAAAGCAACCAAGAGTTCGCCCTGCACGTTTTGCCAAAATTGTCACTAGGCCATACTATCCTTACCCCTTGCAGTAAAATGAAAGTCAAGCTGGCAACCCAAGTTTTAAGTCGATCTGTGGCAATAGCGTTGGAGGAGAGTGGAAATGAGGAAGTCTTGGGTACGCCACAATTTTGCTGAATGATGAATGATTTATTTGACTGTACAAATGTAAGGTCTTTGGCTGAACATGTCAGGAGAAGAAATCATTTCATCAAAGCATACACTGCTCAAGATGATGAACGATTTGTATGGATGAAGAATGTTTTCTTACAGTACTTGGAGAACTGGAGGCAGAGTACAGTGACACGAGATGGAGTGTATTCCACTGATGATAGGGGAAAGATGTTCCTTTCAATTCAAACCTACAAAGGTTTGAAGATACCTATTCATGCCCATATTGAAGCTATTCGGTTTTTACTTGCTGAAGGCTTTCAATATGTTCTTAGCGAAAGATTCATGCAGGACGTGCTTGAAGATTACTTTGGGGCATCAACGTGCAAAAGGTGGAACATTCCGACAATCCAACAGCTGAACAGTTTGGTTATAAGGACCTTACCATAGCAGCACAGAGGGATATTGCACCAGTGATAAGAGGGAATGTTGGAGGTCATTATGGAAAACAGAAGTGGCATCAAGTCAGCGAGGGACCGGTAAAGAAACGGAAAAAAGCGAAGCCAAACGAATCATCAGACAGTTGAACTTGATTAGGTGGGTGGATTTGGATGGTTCATTGTTGCAGATTAAAGGACTCTATATCTCCTCAATGAGTAAAAAAACATGGCAATGGGCGAGGCAACATTTATAACGACTTAAATGGACTTTACTTTTTAGTGTCTATTGCTCCAATAGCTTCATTTTCATGTGGATTATTTCCAGTGGGAACCTAGCCATGTCAACTGGTCATGCTGTGCTAATAAAGCAGTATCTAAACAGGTTAAAGGCAAAGCATTTTTAAATGTGTGAATAATTGCATAGCATGACCTGTAACTATGACAGTATGACTAGCTTCACCACTAGTCGTTTTATCATGTCTCATGCACAATTAGTTTTAGGAATTTCTTTTGATAGGGCTAAAGAACAACAAGAAAGTACATAATTGTTCGCAGGGTATAAATTCATGTTGTTATGCAGTAATAGGAAAACATGGTACAATTAGTTTTTGTGGCCAAAGCGAAATACACGTAATCAGTAACATTTGTTAGTACATGGCAAAGGCTATTTGAACACGAAAACAATTATATAAATTTAGAAAGAATTTGCTTATGTGAACTACAGTATAATTCTAAAATGTGATAGACCTTATGCATAATGACGTCAAAAGGCTTGATGCCCGCGAGGAATGCTGGTCTTAGTAGTCATCGTCCGGGAAAATTTCGATAGTGGCCATTAAGACCAGCATTCCTCGCGGGCATCAAGCCTTGTGACGTCATCATGCATAAGGTCTATTGAATTACGTAGTGTGATGCAGGACAAATAATGAATATTCTTTACTAATTTTACCTAATTTGAAGCTTTGTGTTCTTTAATACATTAGTTTATTTAATATTTAATGGATGAACTGAAATTGATATGGTTAGTTGTAACATGAACAGTGTATTTGGTGATACAATAACAAACCGATAAGTACCAATGTTATAAAATATCAATCTTATTGTAACACTGTTGGTATTTAACCTATTTACATTTTAAAAAGGCATTTACATCAATCTTCACATCATGGCAATCTGTCATGCAATGCAAATTTGTAACTATTCTATCCTTTAGATATATTGTCTTAAGAACCAGTTGATAAGCACAGCATGACAAGTTGCCATTGTTAGCTTTGCTACTGTTTACATTGAAGCCTTTTTGTCGGAGAGTTTTAATTCCTTTCGAAGGGCCTCCTTTTTTGTCTGTTTCTCTTTAATTTGATATTTAGTTAAAAAATCCCTTGCATATGAAAACGACCTCACCTTTAAATAAAGTTTTATCATGTTTTCCAAACACAATTTTTGAGTTGAACTGGAAGGGTGTACTGCACCTGAGGACATAACAATGTTATCTCATAATATTTGACCACTGGAGAATTTAAAGTAGCATTACATATTGTTTTGAGACCACATATCCTGCAACATAAGTCAAGGGGCCACGCTCAATTGGATCCACCGTAGTGGGTAAAGATTCAACCCCTGTTTTCCCAATGCCTATACTGTTTCATTAGATTCTGTGTGGTAAAATCCAACAAGGTTATCTGGTACATCGCTAGAAATCGCGGACATTTGGAATACAGCATGCATTCTCGCCCCAGTCCCCATGTTCACTCTTATTTTCAAATTTTATCAGGAATGTAGATGGTTATCCACTTTTAACATAAAATATCTTTTAAGAATCATACTAAATTAAAATTGTGCATTGTGGATATAAAATTCCGTGAACTAATCAAGGAAATAAGAAAGAAAACTAAAACCAATAATAAAATGTAATGATTATTTACGATACTTAAAACTGGGCAACAACGCAATTAAATGTGCGCCAGGATTTCTAACTAATTTATCAAAACGAGAATAATCCACATTTTACAAAGTCAAATTACGGCTTAATGATCGATGAACTTAAAAATGTGCAGTAATATTTAAATAATATGCAGATATTAGTATCCGAAACAATTGTTCGCATATCTTAATCTTTGGTGTCAATGTGTATTTGCTTCATTCCAAGTTTGCATAAACTAGAAGGTTCTTTTATTAGACACGATCATCAGGTCCTAATGTCGCGGTTTGGCGATGATTTTTTAGGCAAAATAACCCAAAATATATCATTCGAAAGCTCTTCTGTGTTTTGTTTGTTTGCACTTTGTAATCGTTTTAGTATGATAACATTTTGTCATAATCCTTTTTGTAATCCTTTTAATAATGCTTTTAGTTATATTTAAAATAATAAATTTCAGGGATCGAAAGGGGTAATAAGGGACATAGACGTAAGGGATGTTTCGAGATTCAAATGTCCGAGATTTCTAGCGATGAGGTGAATCATCTTTTTCTTCATATAAAATGTTTTGTATAAAGGATAGACAGCATTGTATAAATCTTGAATGCAAGACGTAAGACGTAGTTTTTATACTGTCGTTTAGATCTGTGCCATATAATTTCTGCTTTATTATCTTTGCCTTAATTTTTTTCATCATTGAAGCAAGTGTATTCATACAAAAAGACGAATCTGGTTTAACCACAGTACTGTGTTTGGAATTTGTATGCCTGGTCAAACCACCTTTAGATTTGCATACTTTGTCACACAATGTACAGGGAAATGACTTTTCCCTATGTATTTCGATCAACGCATCGCTAAATTCGCACTCAATTTTTTCACTGTCTGTCCCAGTTACAACAACAGAAAAAATTAACTGGTATATATCAGGTGTAGCATCTGTGAAATCAAACGCGCGGTCAATAATTTGGATTTTCAGTCGAAGATGTTCATTCCTCTGCAACAAGCGCTGACTGATTGTGTTCTTTCTCCGTAATATTCTCTCCTTCAACGGTTGAAAGCTCTTTGTTAAGACGCCGAAATACCGAAACGGTGTCCATACAATTTTTACTCGTACTAATATATATTTTTCAACCAGGGGCGAAACTAGCCCCTTTTAATTAGGGGGGGGGGGTGTCTGGCAGAATTGCCCTGCCAAAACCAACGATGCCCTGTAGGGCCAGCGCTAATACAATACATCATTAAGCTACGTGTATAATTGAACTGCCGATGGAACGTTACCCATACGAACATACGTTACCCAATAACTCTATATTCTATTACTTAAAATTGTACTCATAAAATCATTTATTTAATTTTATTGGAATTTTTCGCATTTTGATTGCCCTGCCAATCGGGATGATTTGTGTGTTGTTTTTTTGGTGGTTTTTTTTTTTTTTTTTAGGGGGGGTACCCCCCTCAAATTTCGCCCCTGTTTTCAACCGATTAAAAGACGATAAAACCAAAAATTCGAG